GGAGGACAGCAAAAGGGTTATTTCAAGCCCAGCCGAAGCCAGGATATCGTGGTATGCTGCATCTCCCAATTTGATGATCGTACACTCCCAAGATCCAACAGTGTGTTTTCGTCCCATTTATTATGGCGACAGTCCCCCCATTTTTCGTGGTGAGACGTGTACTACACCTTTTCAGCGCATGTAGAGTGCTACACTTGTTAGTGTAGTTTTTCGTACAACTACAACCATCCAGGGTCACACAGGAGGGGGTGAACACCAGGGCTTTTTTCTTCTTTATATATATTTTCATGCCCCACCTTCCTCCTGCGGTGCGTGCTGAATTTTATTTTTATCGCGAGAAGGGTCCAGCCGTCCCTTTCCCTCGTCAACCGTGCTAAGGTCGAAGTTTGGTACTCACGAGAGCTTTTTAGCTCTGTTTCGCTTTCACCCGCAGATTTCGTAAATTTTTCATCCCGTGGGGATTCGAACTCACGACCTCTGCGACTAGCGGATTACGAGGATACCATTAGGCCATCGGGACGACCGGTTAGCCGCTCTATCATACAATACACCGATGCTGTGGTGCGGTAGGTAGCCAGAAGATATTTCCGCAACAAATAATACAAGTACTATTGTGCACCGTCCTTCCATGAAACGGAGGAACAAACAACGTGTTTCATTTTTTTTTTTTATTCTCGTGCGGGTGTAGTTTTGCAGACAGCTGTGCGCACGACACCGGCCGCTAGCCCCCTCGCTTTTCGCCGGGAACGAAATGTGGACGCACTACAGCAGTAAATCACTTTGTCTCGTGTCACGCGGAGACTTGGTGGCTTAGTTGTCGTTTGTGGCATGTGTAGGTTGTAGCCACCCGCGCACACGCACCACGTCAGCCGCTTGCCGAATGTATCATGAATGGCCTGCGCTGTTAAGAAATCGGGGCGTGATTGGTGGATCCATGGTGGATGTCGGAGACGCGACTTTCTGCCCTCTCTAGCGCTGTACGCAGCCCGCCCCGAGAGCGCGCGGCACGCCGGGAAAGCCCTCGCAACACAGAGCTATCGGTAGGTGCAATCTCGCTTCGAGGCGAGGTCTACGGGCGGAGAAACCGCGAAAAACGGGCCTTAGACTCATGACAGCATCAGGTTTACATTTTCTGCAATCTCGTGAGCCCTCAGCCCGCAGGAAATCCGTCTATAGGTCCAATGCTCCACCGGTGGAGCAACTTCTTATTTGCTTCATCAGGCAGATCTCCGCCCGCAGAGCGCCAATCGACCTCAACGCAATTGCAACGTGTGGGTATCGGCTAAGCTTCTGGTAAGCTACGGTAACGATGAATCGAACCAGTGGCTGGAGAGATGTGCTGAACAATGGAGAAACGGAGGGTACTCGTAACTCCGCCCACACATCTCCAGTTGACCCAAACGTTTTTTAGAGAGTTATCATCTACTCTCACTGGAGGACTACGGTTTCGAGGTATCACCACAACAGTCGGAAGAGATGTGCTTAAGTCTTGTCAGCGAGTGAAGAGAAACCGGCTGAAAATTAGGGCAGCTCTTAGGTTTGTTGAAGTCTAGTCTACATACTGAATTGTATCAGCGATGCCCGTGGGTGCAAATAGCAATAGCATCGTGTTTGCACGGTCCATACCGTTTGTACAAGCTATCGGACACCCTCACCCAATATGTTCCTGGAGAGATATGGTCAACAGAGGGGGGTCCGCAGCATTTAGGGGGGGGGTGTACTCATAGTCGTGCATGCCGTAGTCGCCAGACCATCGACCTCGCATCTCTACAACAAAGCCGGGACGGAGCACGCCGAGTTCTCACCGGACCAGGCTCTCACATCACCAACCGCGAAGCGCCGTTAGGTATTCGGCGAGTCGCCTGAAGGTTGTGCTGCATCCTGCTAAGGGTGCTCGGCGTCTTGTGCTTACTTCCTTGCGTACGGATGACAGCTGCGTATGACTGAATGTTTTCCTGGTGCTTTCACTTCCAGAGACAGTTGTAAGCACTGTGTAACTCCCTCGAGGGTGCTCGACCATTCAACGCAACGTGGTACGATTACCCCCTTCGCGCGGAGTGAGGGTTCTCGACCCCGTACAACTCATCTACTCGACCGTCATAATGGTTACCGCAAAAAAACAACCCGAAGGCAACCAAAGCGGTAACCTGGTTGCCAAGCTCACGAAGTGATCGGCTTGTTTCACAACATCGCTGCCAAGCGACGAAAACCCAACCCCGATGGCAAACACCAGGGGGGCGGCTTGTTTTACAACGTCATGCCAAGCGACGGAAACTCAGCCCCGATGGCAAACATCGGGGCGTACTCTTGATGTTTTGCATGCCTTAGCGGTTAGACGATTGACCACGCGTCCGCGAGAGTATGGAACATTGTTCCCACAGGACCGATCACCGATTGCCAATCGTTCCTTCCTACTTTGCCAAAGGTGGCTCAAAAATGTCTTCCCTAGTCTGTCTATCCTAACGATACCCCTTCCCGCCTTGTCAAACCACTTCCTACTCCCCAGTACAGCTACCGTCCTCTTCTCTCTATTCCATGCCTCAAACATCGCCCTGTTCCTCCCATGTATTTTTCCCAGCTAAGTCACGTACACTTCCCTCTCCTCTTCGTACAACTTACATTCCGCGACTACATGGTCACGTTCTTCGCATTCGAAGCCGCAATCATATTTGAACTCGTCGTCTTCGTCGTCTTCCGTCCTATGTCTTCGTCGACGTTCTCGAAGGCCTATGTCCCCGGCCCTGAATTTGACCTCAAGCTTTGTCCCTGCATGCAATGTAGATAGTCCTTGAACCCTATTCCTTCCTTCAACATTCCGTACACTTCTAGACCCTCCTTATCCTCGGCTTCTTTCCTTAGATTCTGTTCTTGTCACTCGGCACANCTTCTAGACCCTCCTTATCCTTGGCTTCTTTCCTTAGATTCTGTTCTTGTCACTCGGCACAAGCAACATATATCTTCTCCTTGAACCCCTGTAGACCCTCCGTTTCCAGCGTTTCATCTTCGTCGCCTTCGAGCCCCTTCCATGCGTCCTCTACAACCTTGACCCATTCCGTGGGTTGTCTACCCCTCTTTTTGTTTGCCCACTTCGCCTCCCATACAATCCTCGGCAACCTCTCCTCTCCCATCCCGCACATGCGATACTGCCAGGTCAGCTTCCTCGCGTCTCTTCCCGACCGTAGGGATTGGATCCCCAATTCTGCCCTGACGGCTGAATTACTTGTGCGCCTGAAGCATCCTAGGATGTTTTTCGCTGTTTTCATCTGCACCGCCTCGACTTCTTTCACTACCTTCTGATTTCCTTCCCATACGTCTCCGGTGTACTCTGGCGGCGGTACGATTACGCTCTTCAAAACCGTCAATTTGATGCGTGTACCGAGGTGTCCGTTTGCGAGTATTGGGTGCACTGCTGGTGTCTTGCGCTTTTCCGCTACCTTGGACATGTGTGCATTCCACGAGGAGTCTTTTCGATCTCTACTCCGAGGTATGTGTACTGTTCCACTACTGCAGTCTCGTCGATCTCCCACTTCCATCTATGTTCTACTGGTTCCTCCCTGTGATCGTTGCATACCATGACGGCACTCTTCTTAACGTTGGCAGACAATCTCCGCTTCTCAGTAAACCTCTTCGCCGCGTCAATTTGCAGTTGCAGTACCTCAGGGGTGTCCGACACTCCCTCCCGGACTGCCTTCACGACTTCCAACAGATCGTTGATGAACACCTGGGACAATGTAGGGGACAGCGTGCAACCTTGTGGGACCCCCTGTTTATAGTCGAAGAATTTAGACAGTTATTCGTCTAACATGACCGCGCTTTTCGTACACTCTCTCCACATTGTCCCTTTGGTTCCGTGCTTGGAGATTTGTTTCCTAAGCCCATTTCTCCATGCGGTATCGTATGCCTTGTTCACGTCCAGGAAGAAGCAGTACATCGGCTTTCCCGCCCTCTTTCTACCTTGGATGATTGTCCCTACCGTGAATGCATGGTCTACGCACCCCCTCTTCTTGCGGAAACCTGCCTGGCCCTCACTAATGCTATGTTCCTTCTCCAATACTTCCACTATGCCATCAATCAGTAGCTTCCAAAACACTTTTCCTACTGTGTCCAACAGTGTGATCCCCCTGTAGTTTCCTGGGTCGATCTTGCCTCCTTTCTTAAACAAGTTCACAACCACTCCTTCCCTCCATCTACATGGCGTATACTCGTTTTTCCACACCCAATTGTATAGCAGTACCATCAGCTGGATCATCCCCTTCCCCCCAAACATCATGAACTCGTTGACTGTCCTATCCGCTCCTGCTGCTTTGTGGCACTTCAGCTTGTTCACACACGCCCCGACCTCGTCCCTCATGCACTCCGTTTCTAGTTCTACGTTCCCAACGTCTGCCTTCCATGTCCCTTCTTATTTCTGGACCCATGCGTCCACCTCCTTCTTGAACACGTGGTTAAAAGCTTCGTTCTCCCAAGGCACTCCAAGTCTCTTGTAGTGCCCTGCTAGAACTTCCCTCTTTCCCTTCCCACTGCTGACTAGTCCACCGTTCACACCTCCCAAAGTTGCTACCCCTGTATCCCTCCCTTGCGCGTTGCTTTGTACCATTCCACTAATCCCTTCCCACATCTGCTTGACGTGTCCCTCCAGGCCTCCGTTGGCCTTCTGCACTACTTCGTCCCAAATGCACTTTTTCTTCTTTTTCACTAGTCCCTTGGCCTGTTTTCTCTTGGCCCGTTACTTTCCCCAACTCTCTTCAGACACCTCACTCAGGTACTGCTGGAAGACTTGCCTACGTTCCCGTGTTTCTTCTTTGAGCTCGTCATCCCACCACTTAACCGATGCTCCACATCGTACCACCTTCTTTCCCACCATTCTGTCTGCCGTTGAGTTCACTATGGACTCCCACCCTTCAATCACCCTGTCCCCTGCTGCTCGTACGTCGACCTGTCCGTCTTCGACGCTTCTCAGCAATTTCCTGGAGGATTTTACACTACCAGCTAGCCCCTTCTGGAATTCATCCCGTGTAAAATCCCTTGTCCCCTCGTCTCCCAGTCGCTCTACTATCCACCGGAACACTTTACTTTGTTACTCTGCATCTTTCTACATCGGTCGATGTTTGCCCATATGAGGAAGTGGTCGGTCGAACCTATATCTATCGC